GGGGGGGGTGTGGGGGGGGGGGGGGGGGGGGTCACGAAACCAATATATTGTTTATATACAAGGAATACTAGAAAACACTTGAAGTTTAATATTAACTTTGTAGTACAATAAACAAAGAAAAGACAACAAAAAGACATGCATCTGCTAGGTAAAAAATGAATAATATACGAATCCATTCTAAAAGGGGAAAAAACATTACCTTGGTATCTCCAAGAAAAGGCATTGGTGTTCCACCATAGCCTATTCCCTGAGAAGATCTGGAAGGATCATTACCATTAGCATCACCATTCGCTGCACGAGCGGCAGCACTTGCTCTTGCTTCCCATGCTTGGAGATTTCCAAATTCAGGAACAGGCAAGTCTTTTACTCTTGCAAGTTGTTCCATTAATGGTTTAAGTTGTACCTGTATAATTTCATTTTGTCAACTCATAAGTAGGAACTGGTCAAGTAAAACCATCACCAAGTTAACATTAAGTTGAAGACTGGTAACACCAACTAATATGAGACAATGTTAAGTACTGTTAAGAGCAGCAATCATTTATCATAGCATAATTCAGCATACAGAATTTTCTTTTCTCATATATTTTGAGCATTAAGTTGCATAAAAGTCCTGGGAAAGAAATGTTCGTGCAAGAACTATGTAGGATGAGGAGAATTATTATCTTACACGTCTGTGCTCAGGCATGGTAGAACCCATTATCCATGCATTTAAGATCTAGAGAACTTTTATGCTACCTAGAATATAGAAATTCCAATTTACACCAACACATTATAATAAACTTAAACGAGCCTAGATGATAGCACAAATAAATATATATAACCTGTTTAAAATCTACATATACAAGGAAACTCATGTTATTCCTCTCTATTATGAAGAATACTATTAGCCAAAGGCAGTCAAATGAAGGTTAAAAACAATACTGAGCATCAATAAGAAATCATTCTTGAGAGACTACAAATACCACGTCATGCGCACACACGCACAGATAAGAATATTCTTTCTTGAGAGTCTGCATACACTAGTTGTATTTCCAATTATTAACCTCTATATTTTGTTATTTATGTTCCCATATTCTGACCTACTTATATCTAGGTTCAATTTCTAATTTATACAAATAGATGCATTGCCTACGGAACTACCAGCTTTATCTATACCCTCATCACCATCCTAGTACCAATAGTCTCCGCCTGGCACCTAAAAACGCAGTGTCTTGCATGCTTTAACCTGATTGTCAGATGCCAGCAGTGACAAGGATGTAATACTAAATACTAAAATAGGAATGATAATCTCTAAATGTGCCACAGTATGGAGTTGAAGCATGGCATAGACTTGAAATAGGCTCAAAATACTATCAAGAGGAAAGGAGATCCCTTTTAATCGGCAATGTGATGACAACAAAATAATTATCAAGAGATATATACGTATATCAATTTTAGGATTCCAATAACATCAGGATTCAGAATTACTATGTTTGTAGAAGAATTTGGTTTCAAATGACTCAAGGATGTTGAGACTCAGTACTAAGAGCCTCACATTGAACTCCTTAAGTCATACAATAAATCATGTGCCTATATATTCTGTATACAATGATCCTTACAAAAGATGAAAAAAAAAAAAAAAAAAAAAAAAAAAAAAAAAAAAACTTTTTGAACGCTCTTAGAGCACCATCATGAATATAGATGAAGAATCAAAAGATGAAAAGAATCATACACGTAATGATAGTTTCTTTTATGGAAAACAAGATGAATGGAAAAGAGAGAGAGAGAGAGAGGAATTTACACATAAAAGCATACAACATATGTAACATCAATTTGTTTGCCATGACTTATACGTACATAATTTATTTAAAAAGAAGAAATACTTTGACATCAAGGTAAAATTATTATTGCGCAAAATAAAATAAAAACCTCCATCTTTTGTAGCATGTCCTTTAGTTTTTCACGCCGCCTTCTCCGGGCATTATCATCTCCATCTCCTGCTTCTTGAGCAACAAGCTTGTCACTCTCAGCCACAAGTTCTCCATTACAACTTTCACAGTGAAAATACTCATCTTCCACCGAAATTAACCGCAGAGCATCTAAAGCATTGTACCTGAAGATTTGACATCACGACAATCTTTAAGAATGAAAACAGAAAGCTTTTTAATCTTCATGACAATCTTTAAGAATGAAAACTTCATTGATGCAATCCTCACAAACTTTATCTTACTTCAGAAAAGGAAAAAAAAAAAAAAAAATGGACACCTTTTGCCACAATTGGGGCATATATATTCCTGAATTGTGTTCTTGTCCTCCAGTTCATCTTTCAGTTTTTTCTTCAGGCGGTGCAGTCTGTACCTTACCACATCATATATCTGAAAGACATAGCTGCTTTAGGCCTTTTTCCCAAATATAGAAGGCAATATTTGGTCAACATCTCGGTAAACTGGATAATCAAGTTAAACAAGTGTAAATGGAAAAGTTCATGTTTCCTAGGCCATCATATCAAAACACTCGAGGTCGTGCTGTCAAGCTTTAATGAAACAAAACAAACATATTATCTCATCTATTCAAATTTATATTTGTGTTTATGTATGAATATATTTATAAAGAACAACCTGTGCATAGTCTAGACAACAGTAAGAGTGAGTGTGCATCTTAATTTTCTCATCCCCTTCCTTTACATGTTGTTGGCCATCTGCTGTGGCAGCTACTGCAGCACTAAATATCTTTGCACCTTTAGCTGTCTGCAATAGCGGGTCGTATAATTAAGACAAATCATTAATCAAACTAACAATAAAAAATCACGCAGCTAATCAACAGGATACATTATCATTATCTTCAAATGGAGGGGGAAAAACGGACATCCTGCTATAAGAAAACCAAGCTACTGTATGTGAACTTAATGAGGAATTCACAAAATAACTATCAAACTGGATAAGGTAGAAGGAAAGTTTTCACACGAGCTAAATGAAATTCAAACAACATTTCTCTCCTAATATATTTGAACGGAGATTTTGAAGTTCTCAAGCATCAACTTGGTACGCCTCAGAAAAAACAGCATAGAAATGGGAAAGGAAGACAAAAAAATAAGGTCACATTCTAGGTCTCAAAGGATCAAAGGAATAAAGTGCAAAAATGTTCATCAATATATAGACAACTCTAACTTCGTGGTTGGCATTTTATCTAAACCCACATCCCGATTGACCTAACCAGTATCTATAAAATTCAATCTCGTATCATTTATGGAGGAAAAAAAAAACACCCCGCCAATTTAATACTCAGATAAGTGTAAGATCATTTCTGCTTGACACAATATTTTTAATAGAAATGCCTTTCCTCGTGTCAAAAGAAAATAATCAACCATGAATTTTTATGCCAATCTCTCACGCCCACATCATCTTTTGATTGTACAGAACCTATTTTCAAAAGTACCTTTATTTTATCTTTTCTTTTTTATAAGAAACATCGAGTTGTATTAATGAAAGAAACAATGTACAATAGCAAGATGGATGTTATCCATCCACAAAAAGAAACAAAAAGACATTCAAAACCAACAAAACCCAATTACCTATAATACAGATAAAAAACAAGCGCCCCTAACACACTACTTTAATATTGCCTTCCCAACTAAGCAGAATTAATGGAAGCAGAAAATCTTTGAAAGCTGAGTCTCTGGTTGCCCATAGGAACGTGATGGAAACCTCGCGGATTAACGAAGAACAAGATGAATGAATGAAGTTTACTCAACAAGGAAGAAGAACACTACACAGGTGATATTCGAGAGATCACCGACTCTCCTCTCTAAACTCTATATAACCAAAAAGCTCTTAAACTCTCGAACTCCAACTTATTTTTAGGCTCCCCTGCTAACACACTAACAAATCTAACAAACAAACCAATTTCAGTTATTACTAAGGAAGCTTCCTCAGCAAGATTGCTGAAAGCTTTCTCAACAAGATTCCACAGTAACCCATATCCACGTCAACCACTATCAAGTAAGGAAACTAGGCAGACAACAACTCCCACGACTCCCAGGTGCTATCACATTCAGGAAGATCCTTCCATTGGACCAGAACCACAATAGAGCCATCCAAAAGCGTCCAAGACTGAAGCAGTGCTGCGGGTTCAACTGCCAGTTCCATGTCAGCCGGCAATTGCTGCACGGAGTAGATGGCTATAACACTTTCCGCAACTGCGACACATGGAAGACATCATGAATGCGCGCAAAAGAGGAAGCTGTAGACGGCAGGCAACCTCACCAACCCACTCCACCACCTGAAATTGCCTATAAAAGCGAGGGCGCAACTTTTCATTGTGCCGACGGGCCAGCACGATAGGGCTGGAGCTTCAGGTAAACGCAATCGCCTACCCTAAATTGGACATCCGGCGCTTCTTGTTGACATACAACTTCATCCAATGCTGGGCAGTGGTCAATCTCTCCTTCAACTCCCGAAGAATGTCATTTCGATCACACAACTGATGATTAACAGCTTCCACCACCGAGCTACCGTCCTCCCAACGACCATACAAAGCACGAAAGGGCGTCATGCCAGCCGAGCTATGGAAGGTAGTATTGAACCAAACCTCGGCCCATCCCAACCAATTAGGCCACTGACGTGGTTTGTTACCACAAAAGCACCGCAAATAATCCTCCAAACTCCGGTTAACCACCTCCGTCCGGCCATCTGTTTGCAAATGGTAAGCGGAGTTCGGTACCGGCCAGCCAAAACAATTCCTTCCAAAAGTTACTGATGAACACTCGATCCTTGTCCGAAATGATGGAGTGCGGAAAGCCATGCAAACGGACCACTTCCTTCACAAAAACGTCCACGACGTCCCAAGCTGTAAAAGGATGGGATAGCACGAAAAAAGGCACATAGACGATCCACCACCACCATGATCGTATCACGCCCCAAGGCCTTAGGCATGCCCCCAATAAAGTCTAAAGATACATCATCCCAAACTTGCTCCGGAATTGGCAAGGGTTGTAACAATCCGGCCGGCTTAAGGGTATCATACTTCACTCACTGGCAAATGTTGCATTCCACGACCAAGCGCTGAATATCACGCTTCATCCCCCCCCAAAATAGGATGGCCGCCAAATGCTCCCGCCCCAAAGAATAGGACGGCCGCCAAACGCTTATAAATGCGAAAGAAACCAGAATGTCCTCCCATAGCTGATGAATGAAATTCTCGGAAAAACTTTGGGATTAATGGAGAATGTTGTGGTAACACCAACTTGTTTTTGTAATAGACGCGGCCCCCTTTGAGCTGATAACCGGCTTTAAATTGAGAGTCTAACAAGAGCCCTTGAACAATCAATCGCAACTTATCATCCTTTTGCACCGCCTCCTCAATAGCTTCCAACTCCCGTGTGTGCACAACTGAAAACACTTGCAGATGGGGGTCCTTGTGTTTTCTGGACAAGGCATCTGCCACTTGGTTATCCCGCCCCGGTTTATACTGAATTTCAAAGTCCAGGCCAATGAGGTTACAAATCCACCGTTGTTGAGCCTCATTCATGACTTGTTGTTCAAGAAGAAACCGCAAGCTCCGTTGATCCGTTCTCACAATAAAGTGTCTTCCCAAAAGATAATGACGCCATTTTTTCGTGGCCAATACAACAGCCATTAGCTCGCGTTTATACACAGATTTGGAGCGACCGTGATCAGAAAGTGATTGGCTGATAAAAGCAATTGGCCTATTGTCCTGCATCAAAACAGCCCCCAACCCGCGTCCCGAAGCATCAGTCTCGATGATAAAGGTTTTGGTGAAGTCCGGTAAGGCGAGCACTGGAATAGTGACCATCCGATGTTTTAACTCCTCAAAAGCGCCCTGCGCTTCAGAAGTCCACAAAAAAGCATCTTTTTTAAGGAGGTGTGTTAAAGGCTCAACCACCTTCCCATAATCCTTCACAAAACGCCTGTAATAACCGGTGAGGCCTAAGAACCCCCGTAGATCCCAAACGGTCTTGAGCACGGGCCAATCAACCATGGCGACAATTTTTGCCGGATCAGCTTGAACACCAGTGTCAGTGATGATATGGCCTAACTATTCCACCCGACGCTGCCCAAAAACACACTTTTTCTTGTTGGCCACCAACTGGTGTTGCTGTAGCAAGGCAAAAACACATCTCAGGTGCTACATATGGGAAGTCCAATCCTTACTGTAGACAAGGATATCATCAAAGAAAACCAAGACAAACTGCCGTAAGTGTGATCGGAAAACCTCGTTCATTAAGGATTGAAAGGTTGCCGGAGCGTTTGTTAAGCCGAAAGGCATAACCAGGAACTCGCAATGACCGGTGTGAGTACGAAAAGCTGTTTTCGGTGTATCCTCCTCACGCACTCTAATTTGATGGTAGCCGGACTTCAAGTCCAACTTGGAAAAGAAAACCGCACCCCCAAGCTCATCCAACAATTCATCTATAGCGGGAATCGGAAACCGATCAGGAACTGTAATTTTGTTTAGTGCGCGATAGTCCACGCAAAAACGCCACTCACCGGATTTCTTCTTGACCAACAATACTGGACTCGAAAACGGGCTGTTACTATGCTTAATGATTCCCGCTGCCATCATTTCTTTCACAATTCGTTCAATCTCATTCTTTTGAGAATGGGGAAAACGATATGGCGGCAAATTTGGAGGATCCACCCCCTCCTTAAGTGGAATCGCATGATCACGAAACCGTGAAGGAGAAAGGTTTGCTGGAGGTTCAAAAACCGAATGAAATTCTGTGAGCAACTCCTCCAAAGCAACATCCTCTACATTCCCATCCGACTGGTCCAACATTGACGCTTGCCTAAATTCAACCAAAAACCCCTGTCCCTCTTCTTGAATTGCTTTAAGCATTGCTTTGAGAGACACTAAAGTTTTGGCACTTACTTTTAAGCATTGCCTTGAAGTAAAACTCGTTCGCTGTGCCAATCGAACTGCATAGTTAATTTCTTCCAATTGGCACTTACTTCTCCTAACATGCCAAGCCAACTAATTCCTAAATTAACATCGGCACTACCAAGCTCGATAGGAAAGAAATCTTGTATTATCTGCCTCCACTTGTCGGCACACCCCTTGCCCGCCAATTTGTAGCCATTCCCAACCATAATACCGAAACTGGGTGTACCATCTATCGGAAGTTTTAATTCCTCAACCATTCCCCAAGAAATGAAATTATGAGAAGCCCTTGAATCAATTATAATCACCACTTCTCTGCTCAAAATCGTACCTTTCACCTTCATGGTATTAATGGATGGAATCCCGACAATTAAATTCATGGAGAGCTCCAAGGGTCCTTCCTGCGTCATCGGTTTCCCGCTATCTTCGTCAGCCACAGCTTCTTACTCTTCATCCTCTGCCGCAATAAGAACTTGGAGCTGGAGATTTTTACAAACGTGACCGACTCGCCACTTTTCTTCACATCGGAAGCATAAGCCTCACTCCTGCCTTCGTTGCATTTCGGCATCTGAAATCCTCTTCCTGAAATTCTCATTTTTTCTAGCAAACTAAGATGGAACATTAACAGGTTCCTTGTTGACAGACACGTTGGATTGAAGAGAGCCGCTGCGTGTCATCACCAACGATGCTTTATTTCCTTCAGTCGGTTTTGGTGGTATCCAATTGGAACCACTCACAGAAGACCCTCCTCCCGTCACAAACCCCCTTAGTCCACTATAATCACTTAAAAAACCAACTCCCTCCCTACTCGGGTTGGGTCTTAAAGCCCGCTTCATGTGAGCCCGTTCAAGGGCCCAATTCTTTTCCTAAACTTTTTGGGCCAAGTCCATCAGTTGGACAAGAGAGGCAAGCTTTCACCATACGGACTTCTGCCTTGATTTCCTCGGCCAAACCATTCGAGAAGGCTCCCATTAGAAACTCCACGTCGGCTTCTCTCAAAGGGGACGAGAGCAGCTCGATTTTCTCACGAAATCCGCCACCGATGAGTCTTGTCACAAAGCAATCAAAGCCTCGTAATGGTTGCCAGTTTGCGAAGACCGAAACCGCTGTATCACAAACTCCTTGAATCTCGGCCATGAAATGTGGCCAAATATGGATTCCATCCAATTCAACACCTTCCCTTCGAGACCGATAACAGCCGCCGCCACTCATTCCGCCTCCTCGACACCTTGACGCCTTGGACCTGGAAGTACCACTCAAGCCGAAACAACCAGCCAAGCGGATCGTCGCTGCTAAAAAGAGGGATCTCCATTCGGCGAAATCTTGATTCTCTGCCACTCAATGCTGATCCATAACCGGGGTGAAACGCTGCCACCGTCGCGCCTCCTCCTTCAACATTGTTCAAAGCAAAAGCCCTAGCCTGCTCTGCCAGTGGATTCACGCTGCTCCCCAACCTCATCCAATCGGTAAGCTCCTTCATGTATTCCTTCACAGCTCTGATGTCCACCGAAAGCTATCAGACAACTCCTTTGAGTACTCCAACGTCCGATTTGAGCACTCCGACATCTTTCTCCAAAAATTCCAATCTTCCATCCATTTTTCTATCAGCTCTTGAAGCTACCATTCCCAAACGAAACTGCTCTGATACCAATTTGATGGAAACCTCACGGATTAACAAAGAACAAGATGAATGAATGAAGTTTTACTCAACAAGGAAGAAGAACACTACACAGGTGATATTCGACAGATCACCTACTCTCCTCTCTAAACTCTATATAACCAAAAAGCTCTTAAACTCTCGAGCCCCAACTTATTTATAGGCTCCCCTGCTAACATGCTAACAAATCTAACAAACTAACCAATTTCAATTATTACTACAGAAGCTTCCTCAGCAAGACTGTTGAAAGCTTTCTCAACAAGATTCCATAGTAACCCATATCCACGTCAGCCACTAATCGCTAACGTTTCTTCCTTCTCTTTTGCTTTCTCGGTTCCCATCAGAACGCCATATATTTTGCTTTCTCAAACAAGTCATCCAAGCTCACGACCTCCTCTTCAAAGATCCTATATTTTTAAATTAGCTTTATTTATCATTCTCCCTTTTATTAATTTTTAGATTTTAGATTTTAGATTTCAAATTTTATCAAGTAAACTCCCTGTAGAGACAGGGAACTACCTATGGCCCTATGCTTGATGCGTCATTTTCTTTTGGGATGGAGTCTATGGGGAAGACAACTAAAACCATGACTCACCAATACACCATTAACAGCATTGCTAATATTTTAGATGCTTTGTCAAAAACTCAATCTGAGGCCTTAAACCATGAATCTTGCTTTGAAAAAATTGCATTCACTAATTTACTGTGTAACCCGACTGTAGCTAAGAAACTATATCAAGATCTTGAATCACTTAAAGTACAAAGTAATCCAACTTATCAAGATATCCGATATTGTTAAGTGCAAAATCTTCCAGGTTAGAACTTCAAGAATTCTGCTTCCGTAAAACTTTCACTACAAACTTGTGTGCGAGTTAAAATGAGTCATGAAGCTTAATATAACTCATATCGAACAATCAGAATTAACCAATAAGCATACTATAAAACACGAGGACTACAGTCATGACAAACCTCTCTCCTGTGATCTCGGGTAACCAGTTTTTCTTCTTCAAAAAATCGCAAAGTTCTTCGAAGCTGCTTAGAGTGTAGCTTTAAGTCCTTTGCCAAATCTTCTTCCCTAACCCATTGTCGTCTGAGACATAACATATGAGATACAATAAGCAACGGCAACAGATAAAAACAAAAGGCTATGTTGCTCACCGTAAACATGATGCACACGAACAGAGACTGACACTACACAGACATGGGACACCCAAATAAAAAATTGCAGTAAGCAAAATCATCAGCTTCTTTTAGAGCTTGTTGGATTGATAGGACAGATAAACAGAGGGACGGAGAGGGGTGAGGGAATTAGTAGAAGAATTTTAACACCCTGGTTGTTTGGTAGAAGAGAAAATAGGAAGAATGGATCGAGTGAGGGATTTTAAACTCTTTAAAAAACCCAACTTTAATCTCCTCCCCAGGAAGGAATTAGATGAGGAGATCCGTACAAAACACAATAATCGAGAGGTTTTCTACTTCCTATTTTCCTCACCTAGATTATATGATTTTCTTTCCTTCCTATTTTCTTACCCTCTCACCAAACAAAGCCCTTAGCTCCAAAATCTTATGAAAAATTAATCCCCATCCAATAACCAATACATCTCAACAGATAAAAAAGGTGCACACCCATAGGTAGAATACTACAATGGATTGTGTGAGGGATTTTTATTTATTTATTTATTTTCTTTTCGTAGCACATACTCAACCAAAAATAATAACCAACTATATTTCTCATTTGTTTCATATCCCACTTGGGATTTTTGTTCCCTTTTTTTTTTTTTTTTTTTTTTTTTTTTTTTTTTTTTTTTTTTTGCTTTCGTAGCAATATACTCAACCAAAAATAATCACTCTCATATCCCTTCAGAATAACATCAATAAAATTCACACTTCTCACTCCATTATTCATTTAGTACCAATTCACTATCAAGAAAAAAAAAACAATTGAATCATTTAAAGATCCTCTTTTTTCTCAACAATCAGGAAAAAAATTCTCCATAACAGTCGCACCAAAATAAAATAAAAAACCTGGCTAAGGCATCAAGAACCACGACGGCGATCCCTCTATTGTCGCTCCGGCCGTTCTTCGGCTGATTCTCCCCTTTCGTCGTTATGTCGTCGTAGAAAGCCCTCGCCGCAAGCTTCACCAACCTGCGACGAACTCGAAAAACGACAATTAAAAAAAACAAAAAAAAAAAAACCATCATCGGAGAATGGAAAACAACGAACAAACGAAAACCAAGATGCTATTCCAGCTCCGCAGAAAAAGAAAGAAATAATAAAAAAAAAGTACCTGTTGAAAGGTTCGACGCTCATGGTCTATTGCATCAATTTGTGAAATCTTTCCTTTTTCGCTATTTTAATTTGGGTTTTTTATTCCTTTGTGATTTTAATTGGTGGAACTTTTTTTTTATCAAATTTTTTTGGGGGTAATTTAGTTCGGAAATTGCTTTTGAGTTGCGAGAACTTTGCAGACGAGAGAGAAGAGGCGACGGAGACAGAGAGATCTGAGAGACTGGATGGTTCGTGACGTGTATGAGTTGGGACATATAAAGCAGAAATTCTACTCAGGTCCCGTTCAATAGCTATTTATATTTAGGGATAATTTTTAACCCGTTTACTTCATGAATTAGAATTATGAGAAAAAATATTATAATAAATCATAAATTATTATTAAAATTAAAAAACGAATCCTCCAACTAAACAACCCCAAACCATAACCCAAATCTTATTTTAGCCATTAACTTTTTAACATTTCACATAAGTTTTAAATCCATGAAATTGTCCTCAATTAGTCCACCGGATACACGAGATTACTACGTGCAATTTACTAGAGGTTTTTTTTGTTACTTTCCATGTTAGGGGACAGTTATTAAGAGAGAAATCGTGCTTTCTTTCATACAGATTTTAACAGTCTGAAAGATAAAAACACCAGTTTGGGACAATAGTAATTTGAGAACTCATTATGAGATATTTCAAAGCTATGACAAAAACAGAATTTGGCTATAATTCGTGAACTAAAATGGGAATTAACCTAAAAAGAAAATAAAATAATGATAAAGATGTTCTATTTGTATAATATTGAAAAACAAGGGCGTCATGAATATAAGGAATAATTTTAATTTAATACATGTGTATTATGATAAAATTATCTTTTAATATCTCGTATTTTTAATAATTTATTTTGATACTTTTACCTTTTAAAATTTAAAATGTCAATATTTAGTAGTCCAAGTCTATTTTTTGAACATATAAAATGCTTAATTTACTTTTTTATAATAATTTTTTATTTATTTACCTGAATTCACTCTTTTAAAATTTTTAAAGACAAAAAAAATTATATAATTACAGGGATAATTTTTTTAAAATGTTTAATAAAAAGTATACATTCGGTTTAATCGAATCAGAAATTATTAAGAAGGACAAATTCCATACTTCATGTTTTAAAAATGATCTTAGAATACCATAAAATAAATTTTTTAAAATGTTGAGATATTGATTTAAATAAAATTATAAAAAAAGGGTCCCAATTTATCTCTAATCCAAGGGCTAAATGCTCGTTTGGTTGGAGGATTCGTTCTCTGATTCGAATCACGGTTCATGGTTTACTACAGTATTTTTTCTCACAAAAAATACACGTAAATCGAAAATAATTGTAATCTCATAATTCTAATTTATGAACCAAACGGGCTAGAAATTATCCCTAAATATAAATAGCTATTGAACGGGACTTGATCCCTCTTTTTTATTTTGGATATCTTTTAAACAAATATATAAGATATACATTTTTAATATATTATGGTAAAAATAAAATTAGTACATTGAGAATTGTGTTTTGTTATGTAAATACTTTGGTTTAGAGAGAGAAAGTTAGTGAGAGAGGGTCCGAGAGTTTCATAAGAGTTTGGGTTTTGGGGTTGGTGGTCACTGGAGACAAGTTTGTGCTGACGGAAGTGTGGATAGCTATCGGAATGGAGTCATTTGAAGGGAAGAGGCCACCGATCTAATACTGTAGATCTAGGACACGTTCGCTGTAGGACCCTTTGAAATTTCAGGAACCAGATCGTGGGACGGAGGCGAAGAAGGTGCTCCAGCGCATGTGTCAATCGCCCTCAATCGGTTGAGGCGTGTGTGCCCCATGCGCCGCCGAGTTTCAAGTGCTTTCGATGCCGTTTTGAGAGGCTTTTCCTAGCGCCGTTCTAACCGTTTTTCTCATATTTTTGACTTGAGGTACTCATTATTGTTCGTTTGATCTCTTCAGTTTTCTTCAATTTGTTGGGAATAGTGTCCTAGAAGCATAAGATGTAATAGGATATTTATTATTTAATTAATAAAAGAGTTTATTCATCATTTTATGTGCATATATTTATGAATATCAAATGAAAATTCCGTGATTATTTATGTAATCTTAAACATAGTATATAAGTGTTATATACGAGAGGATAGTGTTTAAGGATAATAATAAAAAACATTGTTCATAATGAATTTAATTAAAGTTCAGAATCTTTAATTAAAATATTATTAATACATGTCATTCCCATTTAGAATGGAACGGTGCTATTCGCACTATTAATATGGTGAGATATTGAATGAGTGTATTTCGCATAATGAGATTGTGTGGAACAGGGACACAGACACAATATGAATTTTTAATAATTTCCGTTAAGCATAGAAATTCTAATTGAGTTTACTGTTGGTCATATATAGAATGATCTTAATCCCGAGTTCTTAACAAACTCATATTTATGAATTTATGTCTTTTGATTTACTCGGTACGGATCCTGAGACCCTGAAACCTATTCCTTGTATTTTGGAGACATGATGAAATAGGTAGCAGAGAATGTTATTATACGAGATGAAATCCATTCCTTCTTGAGAAAGAAGTAGATAAATAATTCTCTTGAGTGTTGATTCAGTACTTGGATTAGTAAGAGCGCTTTGGTTCATGAATGTGTTTTATGAATCACTATCCATTAGAGAATCAATGATACTCAAGGATAAAGATGTAATTAGAGAGGTTAACGGATTCTACCTGACTCTAATTATGAATTATTTATGGAGGATTGATCTATATGTAATGACTATATCAAATGGACACTTCGCAATTTAGAAGTAATTAATGTATGTAATTTCGAGAGTTCAATTCCAAGTTTATAATGGAGTAACTATTTGAATTAATAGAATTAATTAATTAATTAAAGTGTT